TTCGGAAAAGACAAATGATAAAGGCTTTAGAAACTGTTCAATTACCTGACACAAATCTGATCAGATTGTTTTCTAAAGTAGGAGATCTAAATTTAAAATGTGTCCCATGAAAGTTATATTTCATTGGAAGTTCTTTCTTGACTTTACACTGTTGATACTTTCATAATCATTTATCCAGGTCAAGATTATCTAGGGACAAAGAAAAGGGCTCTGACCATTTATTGAGTCTATTTTTGAGTCCAATTTACAGATGTAAGATATTTGCCAATATCTCAACCCATAATAAAAACATAATATTGTTGAATATTTTCTTATATCTTACTTGACATACTAATATTTGAGAGAATAGGCTTTGGAGACAGTTGGATCTTGGGTCTCTTTCTTGTTCAGTTTACTCAACTATAAAAGGGGTGTAATAACACCGTATAAGGCTAATATGTGCAAACATACAGCATACTCAAATAAGAGTTCAATAAATTATAATTATTATTATTATGATGATTATGCTCATAGAAGTTGCATGAAGGCAGAGCAAGTGTTTTTATATCCAGCGATGAAGAAACCTAATTTCATCGACTTTGAGGGGCATGTCAGTGTGTCATATTTATACAAACTATTACAATAGGGGTCAATTAAGAAACAAAATAAACAATTCTATCTCTGTTTTAGGGGGAGCTTTTAATTAAATTGGTGCAATGTACTGAATATTTATACATGCTCCCCCCAAATTCATATGTTGAAACCCTAACCTCCCAGGTGACAGTGTTAGGAGGTAGCACTTTTGGGAGGTGATTAGGTCATGAGGGTGGAGCCCTCATAAATGGGATTAGTATGCTTATGAAAGGAATCCCAGAAGGATCCCTTGCCCTTTCTGCCATGTAAGGACAGAGCAAGAAGGTGCTGTCTAGCCCCCAGAACTGTGAAAATTAAATTTCTGTGGTTTATAAGCCCTGTAGTCTGTGGTGTTTTGTTATGGCGGCCTGAACAAGTGGAGATGGTTGAGGAAGAAGACAGTTGTGGGAGAATTACAATAGGGGACAGGAGATTATGGGTGAAGTTAATCAAGGAAGACATCTTGGTAGAAGCAAGCCTTGAGCTAAATTTGATCGAAGTGTAGGACTATGGATAGTAATAGAGGTAAAGGACCATAGAGAAAATATGGAGAAATCACACAGGTGGTGTTAACCTTAATAACTGAAACAGTATATGATTTCAAGTCTAAGTGGCAGAAAAAAAAATTACCATGTCAATATTCATAGCATTATTCCTTACCAAAGTCTGTTGTTTTGATTTATTAATTGAGAAAAGAGGGTTTGGTTAAACAGAGTGGAAAATATTTAAATGTAAAGCATCAGGGCTAGTTCTAATACTCAGCGGGATAGATAATACATCTGCCAAAGGCTTTAGAGAAAGGCCTGTTCCCATTCCACCTGCTTTGCCTCCACACCCAACAGGCTGATACCTCAGCATACGCCTCCCTTCTTGAGTTGCCACATAAGAAAATAATTTTACATCCAGATGCTTAGTTTAAAAATGGCCCCACTATTGTCACAATAGTATAATGTAACTTGGGAATATGATGTTGTGATATGAAGGTGAAGGGAAATGAAGTTGTGATAAGTTGTGAACTAGGTAAGATTATTATTTCTGTAATGTTTATTTTCCTTAGAGCCTGGGTTTCATCATTTTATATCTATCTTCATCAATCGTTACTGAGCCCCTAGTAAGTGTGAGGCTCTAAGTCAGGTTCTGAGAATCCAAAGATATGTGTTCTGCCCTCAAGTAACTTGAAGTCCAGCTATGAGATAATATTCAAAGGGAGGAGAATGCCTAAGAATAACAAGAAGCAGATCTGAGGGCAAGTAAGTTCTCTTTTTAATGTTTAGGACTAGTATTCGCCTCTCTAGGGCCATGCTAAAGGGATTAAGATGAATAGCAATTGCTATAGATACTAATTTTATCAATAAATAAAAGAATTCTAGTAGTACTTGAATGTAAAGCTTCTAAAAGTGCTCATTCAAGAGCCAACTCCAAAGAAATAAAATAATTTATATTTTCCATCAGCTAGGAAATAAATCTACTGTGACAAAAATCAGGCATAAGAAATGGAGCCTTTCTTATATCCTTGTATTTATATTTATTTCAAATACATTTCCTAGATTTCCTTTGACATTTGTTTTGTACCTCTTCAAGATTATTCTGGAGTACAAACATAGACTTGACCAAGAATTCAACTATTCTGTTTTTTCAAATAATTGCATTTTGATAGAATTCTGAAGTGGTAAAGATTTTTAATAATACATTTGTTTTTTTTCTCTCCTACCTGATAAATGATGCTAAAAGGTTTCTTTTTTGATGTTTATTATACATGAGTTTGATTATACAAAATGAAAGAGAAAAGATTGAAGGTAGAACATTAAGCTAGCTATGAAAATTGTTGCCGCTACATTAAGAAACTCACGAGATGATAATTCTAATTTGATGATTTAGGGGAATTTTTGCCAGTAACCACCAACATGTTATTTAAATACCTCTTTTTATGGCAACCTAGCATCATGTAACTTTATAACTATCACATTAGAAGAGGGAACACATATAAAAACTTACCTCAAATGGCATCATAAATCCTATAATACCTAAAACAGTACTTTCGCTCCAAATAATTTATAACTTGCAAAACAAACTTTTACACACAAGAACCTGAGAAATCCTATTCTAGTTCCCCAAATTTGGGAGAAGAAGGTACCTGAATAGTCAAAAGTCAACAGATCTTGGCCAAAGATTTACTGAAAAACTAAAATACAACTGTTTTTTTCTGTGCTCTCTACAACCTGCCACGTTCATTTCCTTTTTGTGATGGTCTCTCTGATGGCTCACCTGGTTCTTTGTGAGCCAGGGTTTGCCTTTATTAGACCCCCAGGAACAGGGATGATGAATGCACACATTTACTGAACTGCCCTCTGTGCTAGGATTTAATTGGGAAGTCAGAAAATGTCACTAAGACCCATGGGCATGCAAGAACTTCCATTGGCATACAACTGGGAAGAAATAAATAGGAGAAAGAAAAGGAGAGGAAAAAAAGAAAGAGCATGAATTCAAACAAAAAGTTGGAACTGGAGGAAAAGAATCATCATTCTTTCAATTCAGCAAAGTAAGTGAATATAACAGAAGCCTGTCTTTCTGCAATCATATAAGATGTACAAATGAACAAACAAAATAACACAAAAGGCAGGAGGCCAGCATTCTTTGCAAATGCTTACACACCTAAGGTAATTATTTGGTTACTCTTATCTTGATTAAAGAAATTATCAACTATCATTAATTCATAGATCATCTGACTGAGAAGGTTCCAAAACAGCCTCCCTCCTCTAAATTAAGTAATAACAATTCAGGTTTACAACAGAGATCCTGAAGCTGTGAACATTTCAAAAGGACTTCTGAATCATCATAACGTTTTAAATAATTAACTTAATGTGTTAATAAAATACACTATTAAATGATTTTTAGGTGTTGCAGGCATTTTAGCATATTCTAATTCTTTAAGAAATATTAATATATTTGTTCTCATTCAAAATTAACTTGAAAGCCAATTTGGAATCTAAGGCAAGTATTACCCCAAGTATATTTTGTGAAAGACTAGTAGTCTCAGATACTTTGAAAAAATTAGAAACACTTACTTTCCCAGTCAGGTCTGCCTACATAATAACACTTTAGAACTTGCTGCTTAGACATTCAATTTGTGTGTAATATAAAACAGCCAGTAAATTTTGATTAAGAGAATATTACACCAATAAAACTTTTATTTCATTCCTTACCCTATATAGTCAAGATAAATTAGTGTTTCTACCTGTAATTTGGTATCATTGATGTGGATACTTCTTATCACTTAAACTGGGATTTAAAGTGTTTGTCTACTGCGTGTGTTTCATGACATTTTTTTTAAATCCAAAGTATTTTGTATTGCATTTTTAAAAACTGCATCTATTGTATTAGATTGAAATAAGATGGTTACATTGTATTTCATCATAATAGAAGTACTTTAAAACCAGTTAATTCTTAGCCCGCTCTTTCTTTCTTTCTTTCTTTCTTTCTTTCTTTCTTTCTTTCTTTCTTTCTTTCTTTCTTTCTTTCTTTCTTTCTTTTTTTGACTTTTTGGCTCAGAGAGGAAGAAACTTGAAAAACTACTTAACACATTGGATAAAATTTTGAGAAATGTTATATAGAAGAAAAAGTCTGATGGTTAATAGGAGAGAAAAAGTCTTTAAGGGAAGTTGGTAATAACCTGTTTTTGTTTTTTTGTTTGTTTGTTTTTTAAAGAGAAATGAGATGATGCCTCAGAAAAAATAGGATCAAGTTCTCTTGGTTTCTGGCAAAGTTGTTGATTGATTGACTATGTGGCTATGTACATCAGGGCAGGAAATAGAGTCTAGCACTTTGCTAACTTTGGCCAAGGGCTTTTGAGGAGCTCAAGAGTGGAAAATAAAGAACTCAACTGTGCCCACTCCTCACCCAAGCATTTAGCAGAAGAAAGGCCTACCAGGGAAGCCAAGATTGTGAATGGGAAGAATCCCTCTCTGCAGCTCTCCTGAGCTAGGCGAACAGTAAATAAAGCAACTGGAGCCCTGGGGTGAGGAGAGGCCTTATTGAGTTAATGTTGCCATGTATTATATGGTATCAATCAATCTTAATATAACCATATCAAGAGTGCAAGTGCAGGATTTGATGGGTGAAGAAAGAACTATGTGATTCAAGAAGAGAGGAAGTGATTGGTAAGTTTTACTTTGAATCTTTCTCGATCTAAAAATTGACATGGAGCTTGCATAGACAAATTTGGGAAAATAAGTAGTTTCCCAATAAACCATTCCTAACATAAGTTTCATTTTGGGAGGTAGGAACTAAAAGAGCATCGTAATATGTGCATTTTGAATGCTACTTTTATTCTGCTCTTCCAATAACCCACGTAGGAGAAGTCATGGAAAGGGACAGCTCCCAGGACTTACATCTCTTCCAATCAGGTCCTCCTGGTTTTCCACAATTCCCCAGGGGGCAATACCTATGGTGCATATCTTCCCCCGAGACTTGGATGCGTGGTCCTTCAAGGCATCTCCAACATGACGAATAACACCTAAGAAGAAAGAGAGAAGGATTAATTTTATCTTTTAAAACAAGTACCTTTCCATAGTTCTAAAAGAAATCGTGATAACTATTTCTCCCAAGGTTAAATAAATTGAACATAAAATTTTGACACATTTCTATACAGACTACATATATTTAGGAGAGAATGCAAACCTGTGGCGATAATGCCAGATGCATTTGCCAGACTTGTATATGAATATGCATTGCATATTCTGATTTATATGAAAAAAATAAAAAGCATTCAATGTCTATAAAAAAACCCAAATACAATTCTTTAGAGAATATTTTTCTTATATAATAAGTATAATGATTCATTAGTATAAGAACCAATACCTTGACTGTATCATGTAAAAAGCACCACATATAATATTAAATTTACACCATAGTTTGTGTATCAGTTAGGGTCATTCAAATAATCCAGTTACTTAGCTCAGATTTTGTTAATCTTTTTTTATCTTCCTATTTATGGATACATAATGTGAAGAACCTACTGATAAAGAAAATATTGGCCTATTCTGTGGATAATTTATGTTAAAAATATATAGCTGTCCCTTTTAATCTTCACCTTTCTAATTGTTTTCCTCTTCTGTCAATACGGCTTTCCCCATCATAGTTAAAAGTGAGAAAATTCAGTTTACAAGATGGTAGGCAACCTACTTCTTACCTTTCTATAGGCCATTTAAAAAAGATACAATTTCTAATCTCTAACCTTCTTCTTAAATGGTCATTTTTATAGGAGACTTAAAAGATATTTGCTAAGAAAAGATGTTTCTGCTTATCAAAATTCCACCCTGTTTCTCAAGGAAAAATTCATACCCAGTGCCATCTCTTATATGAATATTGAGTTGGATTTGATTTTTTTCTCCATTTGAACATGTTACAGTTTGCATATTTTGCATAGCTCAATGTGTCACCTAACATATTCTGCAGTGATTCATCTGCATGTGAAGATGTCTCTTCTATAGTAAAACTCCTTAAGGGGAGGATCGGAGGGTCAGTGTCTGCCTCATTTTCCTGTGTCTTCAGGGGCTACCCCAGAGAAAAAGCTCAGACACCATGCTCTGAACTAACCAACCACACAAAACACACCAGGCAATGTAATCATAAGAACAGACATACATATTTAAATAACTCAGTTCTGAAATATTCATAACATCCAACAGAAAGAACCTCCTTTTAAAAAATCAAATAACAAAATAGTGTAAATAGCCACTAATTCATGTTGAGCTATGCTAGGAATGCTAGGAAGAATATCATTTTCACTTATTAGCTTATCCATGAATCTTCTAAGTGAGAGTCCTGGTAAAAACAAAAAACAACAAACAAACAAAAAACACCTAAATAACATAAAAACAAAACCCTGAGAGAGTAAAGCTGTGAAAATTATGTTAGATTGATTCCTGTTGATATACAGAACTCTTCTGAGGGCCAGCCCTGGGCAAGAAGTTGAACTTCATGGTATGTCCCTCTATCTGCACAATTCTATCATTATCTCTTACCTAACCTCAGCGTCCTATCATAAGAACCTCACTTTGAATACTCATGACTGAACACTAAGCCTGGAGTGAGGCAAAGGTGAACTCTCTGGTTTACAGTATTTAGGCTATACTATACTTCCCTCTTTTGATATTGAACTCATTTCCTAAAAGAAGGAAAAATAATAATCAATGTTTCAAGTTCCGAGAAATAGAAGACTGGTAAGAATTTCTTTTGAACCCATAGACTCTTTTCAGCTGGTCTCTATATGACAGGAAAGCAAAAGACAATAATCACAGGCAAGTGATGCCCACTTAGCTGAGAGTAAAGCATGGAGCCCAATACTTGAACAGTGATTGAAAGAAAATTGCTCTGTAGATATTTGATTACTACCGGACAAACAGTAAAGAGCTGAGAGGCCATTCTAAGATCATGTCAGTTTACAGACTGAGTCAGGATTTCACCTAACAATGTTAAGCACGACCAGTCTGCAGACTTCACTGCTGAAAGGTGCCTATGTAGACGTTTGCTGAATGTTCACCAATTCTAGGCATTTAGGAGAATTCTCAATGCAGGTCTTACTTAAACATCAACCCAACTACAAACCAGAAAATAAACCACATTGAGATCACATGTTATTTAGAACCAGTTGGTGCAGAATTATGTTCAGAATATCCCACTAACTCCAGTATGTCTACATGTAGAGACTTCGAGCCCTATAACAAGTTTGCCTTAACATTACTTTTACACAACATTACTTTTACACATCCAATTGGCACTTTGAACTAAGGCTGGGGAAATATGGCAAAAATATTTACAGGCATGCCTTACATTATCTGTTGCACATTAATAATATTCTGCAGATAAGCACTTAAGTCTAAGTGAGTTTGTAGGAATTGATTTGACACTATGCCTATATCACAATACAGAAACTCATTTAGCAGATAAGAAAAACTCTTTGGAATTCAAAGTGATGTGTGTCTTCTATTAGTGCAGAAATGATGCAATTAAATATTTTAGATAATAAATACATAATACCCCAGACTTTGCCATCACAGTTTATGTCCCAGATGGAAACAGCATTTTACAAAAATTAAAGCTATTTGGCACCAAACTTGAAATTGCCTAAAGAACAGAGGCAGGGCTTCCAATTTAAAGCAACAGTCATATCTTAAAGAATTATTGAATGCTTACATGGTAACTTGGGCTACTGAAAATATCTTATAAAATTTTATTAGTTATGTTTGCAAATTCTGTGTAGTTAACTATTTAATATCCCTACCTGTTTCTTCTGTGTAAGTAATTCTTCTTGGTTGAGAGATAACTGCACAATTATCATTTAGGTAAAGGATGGAGAGAGAACCAGCCATTGTGGACAGACATGGGTAGCAGATGAGGTGGAAAAATATAAATACATTTAACCTTTGCAGAAAATTATCTTAGGCACAATGTTCTCATGGCCTTATGTTGCCTTTCTGTGTCCTATTTCCAGTTACCTGTGTTTACCCCTCCAGTGAATATCCATGCTCCAGTTGTCATGGCTGCTTTGATGAGCCCTTTCCCAAAGACTTGCTTGAGTTTTGGCTGGAGTTCAAAGTTCTGCAGGCCCCCGTGGACAGAGATGAGAAGCTTGGGAAGCTCCAATTGCCATTCCTTGGTCATCAGGTGTAGGAGGAGATCAGGTTTTGTATCAAAAGATACTCGCACATACTAGAAGAAGAAAGGCCATGTATTAGGGAAATGAGGCAGGGCTGGCTGAGCCGTGGTTGTCTTTACTGATTGCAGTTATATATGCACTTACTTGACAAAAATGTCTCATATAAAATCAGATTTTTTTTAAAGGGGTGATCATTTGCTTTACCAAAAGAGCCTTTATGAGACAAAGGGATTCACCAGTTTTAAAGGCTTTCTTGAAATTGTGACAATTCACTTTAAAATTATTTGATTCTCTAAAATGTGGTACAAACATAACTTTTCCCAGACAGAGTTCTTTACTCAAAGGAAATCATGTTTATATTTTACCACTCTTTACATTTGTGTAAGGAGTTCAAATGCTTCCAATATTCTTAATATCCCCTTTTATCAACTGGATGCAGACATAATTGTTTCTGTGACCCTATTATTTTGAGAGGATTTGAAAAATTCTATAATTCTATATAATGTAAGGAGGATTTTAAAATAGGTAGCAGTGAATTATATTTATTCATATCTTAATAACTGCATACCAAATGTTTTCTTTTATCTCCTTTAAAAAAGACAAGTGACGAAAGGCAGGGCCAATATTCTTGTAGCATAGTTGAAAAATTGAAGTGTATAGCAGACAGCAAAGTGTTACCAGATGCAACTGGAAATAAAGTTATGATATGCCTATATAAGTGAAATACTATAAATACATACAATAATAAACAGCTATATAACCATATATATAGATACTCATTTAGGTCTCTAATTATAAAAATTTTTCAATTTCAAGTTGGAAACAACTAAAATACTGGACAAATATAGCAATCCTTTTGAAATAGGTTGCTGAGCTGACATCAAAAGAGGGAATATTCAGATTTCTAAAAAAAGTAGAAGCTTAGAAGTTCAGGAGGCAACACCTGAGGGTCTCTCATAAATCCTGGAAGACCTCGAGCATCTGATTTAATGGCTTTATGCAGCATGGGGAAGCTTAATAAGGGATCCCACATAAAGGTGGGATACTTCTAAGGGTGCCACCCTGAAGCGTAAGGAAGAGAAATAAATAAGTCTGATGTACAGCAAAGAAATTTGCCTACCTCAACCTGGGCTCTGGATGGATGGAGAAAACAATTCCCCTCTGATTATTTTTAAACACAAGCAGGCCCTCAGATAAGTTTTGGTTCACATTTACGCCATCAGTGTGGTTTGAGAAATGCCAAGCAGAATGTTTAATGTAAAATGATCCTGGCTGGGTAATGGCTCTGGATAACTGGCAGAAGCCAATGCAAATCCTGTGTGGGAGAAGGTGTCATCAATTCAGATGTAAAATAATGTCCATGGGGAAATAATCATTGCATAGTGAAAAAATAAAATAAAACAAAACAACAAATTACACAAGGAAATAAAGCAGCATGAATGAGAACAAACAGAAACAATAGGCAGCAGAATAAGATCCTCAAAGATACTGAAATGATCAGTTACAGAATATAAAATGGCTATGTTTAATATGTTAAAACAGCATAAATGAGATGATTGAATATACGAGTCAGGAACAAGAAACTATAAGGAATGACAGTACACATTTGAAAAAGAACCAAACAGAATTTCTAGAAATTAAAATGTAACAATTTAAACAAAAATTACAAGGATAAAGTAGACTAAAAGAGCAGACACACTGACAATAAATCCAGAAGATAAACAAAATGTAACCTAGAAAAACCAAGGAGTTAAAAACATAAAAGAAAGATGCAGAATCTTAGAGGAGATAATCGGAATTCTAGATATAAATAAAAGAGATAATGGGAAAAAGGCCATCTTTGAAGTGATATTGGCCAAATATTTCTCAGAATTATTGAAAGATACCAATTCTCAGATCCTGGAAATTCGATAAATCCCAAGCAGGATAAATAAAAAGAAACCCTGCTCACCAGCACATTATAGATAACACCAAAGGGGGAAAACCCCTCCAAAGTAACTAGAAAACAAGACAGTGATTAGATTGAAGCAAGAGTGAATGCCAGAAACAGGATCTTCAATATGTCAGGAGAAATTATCTGTCAGTCTAGAATTCTATATTGAGCAAAAATATCTTTCAAAAATGAAAGCAAATTATAGACATTTTCAGACTGCCAAAACTGAGAGGGTTTACCTCTAGCAGATTTCACTGAAGGAAGATTTAAAGTATTTATATAGCAGGCAGAACTTACAAGACCCAAAAGGGATGATCTGGGATATAAGGTAAGATAGAAAACTAAGATATTAGTAAATACATGGAAAATCTAGAAAAGCATTGGTTGTATAATCCAAAATGATAACAATAACATCTAATTTATTGTAGAAAGTGATAGAATTAAAACACTGGACAATACAGCATATAAATTGGACAGTTCCATTCAAAATTATAGCATTTTTAAGTCTATATGTTGTGTGTGAAACAAAAGAAAGGTATTGATTAACTCTGGAATTCGTAAGTATTAATTTTGAAGTAGCATAACCACAGAAGGAATGACTTGCACATAATCATACAAAAATGATTCTGCATGTATAAATAAATAACATTATCCAGGAGATGACAATTTATTGCAATATTTTTGGGTCTGGCAGACCCCATTGTTGCAAAGCCTCAAAAATTTTTTGTCTAGTCTTTTGTTAAAATATATCTGCAACATATTTAGCTGAAACATGAGGCAAGAAAACAAATAAAACATGAAAGCAGCTTAATCAAATAAACTGCATAATCAAAAGACTTCCAAGAGCTAAAGTTTCCTATATGCATATACCAGGAACTCAAAGTGTTGGAATGCAATACAACAGGTTCTATATTGATTTATCCTGCAAACAATGGTTCCAGAATGGAAAGAGTAAATGTTGACAGTTTTATCTAAGTGCATTATTGATAATTCTATTGATAATAGAATTTAACTAGCTTTTACAGTATGAAAAATGGCATATTTTGTGCACAAACTCTCATGCAGAAGGCAAGAATTTTCAGATATCTATCAACAGAAATTCTCAACAATGAGTATTTCTGTGCCATGCAAGGAGCCTTGGGTCTGGAGAGAGAATATGATAGTATTGGAGGCAAACACCGTGTTTCTCAAATAAAAGCTTGTTTTTTTTTTTTACTCTTCATTGAGTGGCTCTTTGTAAGACGAATATCTAGATAAACAAAGCTATAAGACAAAGGAATAAATAAAGAAAAAAATAATTAATTAATTAAAGGGGTAATAGAAAACTTTTGGAGGTGATGGATAGATACATTTATGGCCTTGATTGTGGCGATGATTTCACAGGTGTGTACTTAACGCCGAATTTATCAAGTTGCATAGGTCAATTATGAATAGCTTTTGTAAGTCAATCAAACCTCAATAAAGTGATTCAAGAAGAAGATGAAAAGAATAAGATTTTTTCTGTGCACACACTACTACTTGAGTAGTGTAGTTTAGCTACTTGAGTAGTTAAAATTTGGGTGCTCTGCTGAATTTAATTTATATCATTTGACTCATTCAAGAAAGGGATATTTAATGAAATAAAGTAGAACTGGGACTCACAGGTTTCCAAACTGTACAAAGCAGGATACTTAGTGCGAGAAATGTTAAGAAATTGCACGTCAAGTTACTGTTCTCTTACTCACCAACTTTAATGCATCACTTAAAAAACCCTAATTAATAAGGACCTATATCTTCTAAGGTGAGCTATAAATTACACTTTTCTTAAATATAGGAAAGCATCTAAAGTATAAATTATTTGCCCCTTGCAAGACTACAGAGCAATTTTTACCATTTCTGAAGGATTGTATAGAGGTAGTTTCAATGATTAGAGAATGCAAATGTAGAACAGTATAATATTTTGAAAAAGAAGAAAAGTAGTGATGATTGTGGCTTCTGGAACCTCCAAATTCCCCAATTAGCATCCCCATCTGTACATCTCATTTAGCTGGGTAAATAATGTGTGAGATTCAGAGCCATGGTTAGTACCTGGAACAGACATGCAAACATTATTAACTCACATAGTGTGAAGGGAGATTACAATTCATACTAAATGACTACAGATACTGTGTAATAATTCCAGCAGGCTTAACTAGCTAAGTGACATATTATAGACTTCAATTATTCATACTAATTGATATTAATAATAATAATGTAAATGCATTTTTAGAAATAATCCTCCTTTGATAAATAATTTACTTTGGGGCTTCTAAAGGTATGCCTATAACGTGAAGTAAGTGAACAAAGGGGGTTTATTTATTGGTCATGTGAGCAGTTCACTTGAAAATGACTAACAGATTACTGAATACGTGGAAATTCCTTTTGCAGTAGCCCACCTTCTGAAAAGCCATGTTCATTATCAAAGCATGCTTAGTATTCAACTAATAAGTGATCCAGGGAGTGAATGAATGAATGACCTCTGAGATCCAATGAGCCCAGCTTCCTGACTCACAGATGAAGAAAGGGAGGCACCCAGTGTCTGGCCCTGGTAGGGTCCTACTGCTCGTGGGCTCATTTCACATATTTCTCTCTGCTCACAATTCCTTAACGCTACTGAGAAAAAAACCCCAAAACAACAAAAACAAAATAACCAAAAACCTTGTGTATCCACTGTGCTCCAGGCACGTACACACCATGTGCTTTACACACACCATTTCATGTATTCCTCCCAATGGCAAGGAGCTTGGCACCATCCATGTTTTACTGATGGGAACAGAAAGGCTCCCTCATGTTCTCAAGTTCACTCAGCTAGCAAGGGTGATGGTGACGACAGTATTCATACCCTAGGTCTGTCTGACTCCACAGCCCTGTCTCTGGACCTCAGAGATGTAAAAGCCTCTCTCCTTGTGTACTTCGTCTTTTCTTCCTTCACCTCTGACTAGTCAGTCTCCAAGTCCTAATGATCCAACTTCTCAAAATGGTGCTTTCAATCAGCCCCTTCCCTATGTCCCTTCAGTTGTTGTCATGTCAAGGATACACTCTCCTTCCTAAAATGTCAGTTTGAATTGCCATAATGGCCTTCTACTAACTTCTGTATAGAAG